GGCTGGGGGTCTCCTATAGATACCCCGGGGGGGGGGTTCGGGATGAACTCGAACCCCTCCCATCAGCCGGGTTTCGGTGCGTCTCCAACTGAGCGAGACGAGACGCGTCCGAGCGGCGAAACGCTTAGACCGGAAGCTCCGACTTTGCATATCTTAAACATCATCATGTTACATGTTAATTTGCTGTTCAGTGTCTGTCTATAAGTTTGAAACTTACCTACCATTCAAATGTATTTGAAAAAATGTGCACGCACACGAAAGCTCATACCTTGAATAAACCTTTGTTGGTCTTAAAGATGCCACTGGACTCTAAATTTGTTTTACTGCTTCCTAAGATATCATACTCCACTCTAGAGTATTTTCACCCACCATCATCTCAGCTACTCTGGGGATATGTGCTGCCATAGCTTCCTACTTCTCCTGAGGAGTAAATCCTGTGTGTTTTCCCTCAGGCCCAAACTAAATACGATGACTAACACAATTGCCATAGGGATTTGGCAGTTGCATTGCAGCTGCAAGCTCCCTGCAGAAACTGTGTTCCAAAATGCCATAGGGGCCCAGTTCAGATTGGGACTACAGTGTGAGGTGGAAGACTGAAGCCCCTCCCCCATGCTGCAGTCCTGAATCATGCCCCATGGTGCTTTGGAATGCAGTTCCCACAGGAAACTTGCAGTTGCAGTGTGACTGCCTGTCCATGTGGCAATCACAGGCTTGAGCGATCAAGTGTCTCTTTCTAGGTGGAAAAAGCCAAGTTAGAGAATGCAAAATAACGAACCTCAAAGCATTCACAATAGTTCTTCAGGCACCCTGAACGCTTACAGTTACATCCTTTGTTATGTCGAGGCTTAATATCCCCCACTTTCCCTTTTCCAATCTTTGGCAAGAAAGCTTCTGGGTTTCTGTCAAGACAAGCCTAAAACAAAACACTTTGTTTACATGAAGCTAAGAAATATTTGAATGAAGAAAAAAAGTTACGTTACTTTGAAAGTTTACCACAGAGAGTTTTCAAAGATGGCAATGACTAACACAACCCACAGATTACACAAGGCAAGAGGGGTTCATAGGAATGTGTTTGGGAGTTACCCCAAATACTGGTCCTGTATCTTATTTTATCTGCAACAGATCAATAGCCATTGGTTTGAATCCTTAAGTAAAAATGTTTGGCATTTCCACGTGTGTTATAAGCAACTCTAATAATTCCAGGTGCATCTAACTCAAAATTATTTCTAATGCATTACCTTAAAAACTGACAAATCAGATCACTCATTGAGTATGATGAAATCACGAGTTTAAGCTGATGAGCCTATGAGTCTCGAGATGTTCTATCGGATTTTTCATAATTATGCTAGGACAAACCTACCTAAAAAGTCAGTGAAACAATCTTTTCTAAATAATAGAAATTCACACATTAAAAATTTCCTAACTCTTTAACTTTCTGGATTGGCTAAATAAAAGTTGAGATACAAATTATGGTATTTTGTCCCATTATTGGCTTGTATAACAATGACTGGCTTCCACTGTCGAAGGACACTCCCACTATTGGTGAAGAGAGGTGACCTTGCAGTTCCTTCCTCCTACTGCGGACCCAGCATTATGCCCTAATAAGACAGATAGAGGGGGATTGCAGTATAGTACCGATATGGACAAGATAGAACTACTGCAAACTGTGCATTTGTCATATGACAAATATGACAAATGCACAGTTTGCAGTAGTTCTATCTTGTCCATACCAGCATTATGCCCAGCAATATTCCTGGGGGGGGGGGTCCCTTGGATTTCATTTCAGGGGGCACAGTAGCTACAGTGGCAAGGAAAGGTAGAAAAATGCTATTCTGCAAGCTCTGCTCTGTGTGCTATTTTTGTTAGATCCAATTCATCTATCCATTTTTTTTCATTTCACTCAGGAGCCTTTTATGTTAGGAGAATATTCCTTCCAATAACAAAGGAATCACTAATTTAGGCTAATGTGTAGGCTAACTACCCAAATTATGTTTTCCTTGCATCCTTCCCTGGGTCTCAGCAATCAGACATCCGTTGCCAGTTCTGTGCTTGGAACTCAGATCTCAGATGCTGCACAGGGGCTGATTTGGATCAGGACGACGGTGTGTGGGGAGTCTCCCCCAACACAATTTTCCTGACCGGAAATGGCTCCGGGGATCTCTATGCGCCCTGTTGGGGGAAACCACATGCTGATGCTTCCCCAACAGTGCTATTTCAGTTTGGACCACAGCATGGGGGGGAATTGTAAGTCCTGTCTCCCTGTGTACTGTGGTGCGTAGCCTTCCTGCACAGAACTCCCAGCATACATCTGATTGTATGGGCCCAGGGATGAAGATATATAACAGGGTTGTACTTACTGCAACTGTTGTTCATCAAGCATTTTCTATGCAGGCATACACTTGTTAAATACTGGGTTCAAGACGCATTGCAGTGAAACAGCTCTACTTTATTAAGTGATTTCAGGAACAAGACTAAAACCCCAGGGCAACAGCCCTGTTTAAATAGCATGCAAAAACCATACTGACGTCGATACCGGGTAAATTGGTGGAAACCATTATTAAGGAAAGAATTAGTAGGCACATAG